AAAGAAAGAAAGAAAGAAAGAAAGAAAGAAAGAAAGAAAGAAAGAAAGAAAGAAATAGTGCCAAAGACAGAACTCTAAAGGATATTCTCATTTGTGACTGAAGAAAATAAATCTGTGGAGGAAATTGAAAAGCAGCACCCAAATGAGGAAGAAAAAAAAAAAGAGAGAGAGCATAGGCTTCTAGAAGACGGAATTTCATGAATAAAAGAATGGGGAAAAATGAATAAGGGAGGGCCAGCAGGTGGTGTGGTGGTTAGGTTAGACTCCCATGTGATTGATCACAGTTCAAGTCCTGGACCTAGCAGCTTTCTCTCTCTCTCTCTCTCTCTCTGGTCAAATTGAATAGCAATAATATTTAATAAAATTAAATAGATGATTATTTTTAAAAAATGAATGAGAGAAGGTCTGTAGTGTTTAATGCCACAGAAATGTCAAGCAAGATCTGAAAACTTTCATAGATGTGACCATATGAAGGACACAGAGTCCTCAGTGAGAACAATTTCAAAAGAGGGTGCAAATGGAAAATCGAGTATCTGTAAATCAGGACTAGTGACAGTCCTTCTGTTATTAGAAGACCAGTCCTTCCAGGGTCTCTTTTGCACAAGTCCTTTCATCAAGCTGAAACTTGTATTTATGAAATGAGGAAATAAATGAAGACTGCCCAAATGAGGACAAGGAAAGACTATTTATTCAGAACTAGTAAATGTCACCAGCATTTGGCAGAGACTCAAATACAGACAGGAGAGTTTGTTTTTATTTTGTTTTGCTTTTGAGAGAGATTTTTGCTATTGGGTGCGTGTGCTTGCCAGAGAGACAGACAGAAAGTGAGAACTCACCCCCTGGGGGGATGGTGATGCTGCAATCTTCTCTCTTCCATTCCCCTCTTGGGATTTTGGGCACACACACATTAGGGGTGTTTCAAGCTGCCAAGTCCAGGACTTGAACCATTGTTGGCCACGTGAGAGTCCAGCGCTTTAGCCACTATGCCACCTGCTGGCCTCATGGAAACATTTTATAGTGGAAAGAAAAGGAAGGATCAGATATGCCCTGGGAAGCTGTTGGCTTGGGAAAGCTATCTAGAAGTGGTCGTCATCTTTTTCTTTTCTTTTCTTTTTTTTTTCTTTTCTTTTCTTTTTTTTTTTTTTTTTTTTTTTTTTTTTTTTTTTTTTTTTTTGGTTTTTTTTTTTGTGTTTTACATTTTTTTTTTTTTTTTTGTTTTTGCCATAGGACATGTGTGCTCACCAGAAAGACAGAGAGAGAAAGAAAATGAGAAATCACCCCCCGGGGGGATGGCTACACCGCAATTCCTTTTCCACCATTCTCCTCTCAGGATCTTGAGCACGTGAGGCCCGGCGTGAGTTTAAACCACTAAGTTCGGGACTCGAACCACGGTCAGCTACATGGGAGTCCAGCAACATAGCCATTATGCAAACTGCTCGTCCCTAGAAGTGGTCATCTTATAGAATTGGTTAGGGGAACAGATTTAGTCTCTAGTTGGTAGCAAGGACAAAAAAAGTAGGGAAGTTGGTACTTGTTGACCAAGTCCTGACAGTTTGGAGCAGATTGCTACAGAGACTGGTTCAGAGTCCTACTTCTGTAAGATCTGGCTATTGTACCTTAGCATTTTCAGTCTCCTGGAGACGAATCGGCTCCTGCATCATCAGCATCTTAAGTGCATGTGTAGGATGGGAAGTGGCATTTGTTGGACAAACTGAAAATCTACCTTTGACATCGGTTCATCCAGTCATAAACAAACTTGAAGCAAATAAATAATGAAAACAGAATAATTTTGTTGCGAATCTAAAACTGCTCTTAAGAAATAGGGTATGAAAAAGATAAAATTGTAATTCAAAACTACATTCTACTTATGTAATAGAGTAAGGTATCCTCTGGTCTATGTCACTAATCCAGTATCATACTGGTTTTACTGAGTAGAAATGGAAGCCCTGTTCCTCTTGACTAGCAGAAGAATAATTTTGAAATCTAGGGCGCAGGCGGCTGGCCAGTGGCAGTCATTAAGGTGTTTGGATCCCACATGGCCAACTGCATGGTTTGAGTCCAGGACTTGGTGGCTTGAAAAAATACACCAGGTGTGTGTACAAGTATGCCCAAAATCCCAAGAGAAGAATGAAGGAGAAGGTATTGCAGTGTGACCATTCCTCCACTTTGGGGGAGGTGGGAGTCGCTCTTGCTAACAAGCACACATGCACTATAGCAAAAAAAGAAAAAGCAAAAAGAAATCCAGGGTCCAGGTGCACTCAGTTGTTTGGTGCATTCAGTTGTTTGGTGCAACCATGGTGTTCCGTCTTTAGGAAATTCTCAGAGGCAGGGAAGAGGAAATAAACGTGAACAACAGAGGAAACCAAGGACACTTGCAGGTAAAGACATTTTATAGCTGGAACCCTGAGGCTCAGAAGTGGGAGTGGGGTGGGAATTTTCAGTCTTGGTGAACTCTGAAAACAGAAGCAGATCAACTCACATTTTTAGTTTATCTTTCTGATTTATATGCGAGATTATGGGGAGAGAAAATTAAAGGGAAGAAAATTTGAATTTAAAACAACTAGTAAGCCTGCCAAACATTTCAGCGGGTGCAGGGTTCACAATTTTTTTTTTTTTTTAATTTGTGGAGATGGGGTTGGGGGAAGTGAGAAAGCACTTCCCCTTTGTCACTTCCCCTTGGGGAATGGTCACATCATGCCACAATCCCTTCTCCTTTAGGATTTTGGGCAAGTGCATCTGGAGCGAGTTTTTCAATCTCCAGGTCGGGACTTGAACCACGCCATTGGCCTTGTAGGGTCTAGCCGCCTTAACCACTACGACCCGCTGGCCCATGTTTGTTTGCAGTTACAAAAGCGCCGCACATCACTTCACGGACCTCACTTGCAACTCGACCACCTCACCAGGCTCATCAGGCGGAGGGGCACCCTCGCTTGCCTGGCAGTCTGGTGGAAGGGCCAGCGTCCTCCGGTTCACGGCAGCGCAGGGCGCGGGCCCAGCGGGAACAGGTGCTAGAGCGTGCGCGCCGGGGCTTTGGTAACTCCAGGGCGCCGCGGCCCCTCCCTCGTGCGCAGGCGCGGAACCGTTGCCCGCCGAGCGGTTGCGGACCGAGCGGTCCAGAGCTCGCCTTGCCGAGGGGCTGAACTGTGCAGTCCCAGGTCCGGTCGCGCGGCTCGGCCCAGGCTGAGGCCTCGGCGTCCGCTTCCTGCGGTAAGTCGGCGGCCCTGCCCGAGATCCGAGAGTGCTGAATGAAAGGCGGGGGCTCCCCCCTCCCTCGGCGTCGGGTGTGGAGGCGGGAGGGCGCGGGAGAGAGCCGGCTGTCTAGCAGCCCCAGACCCCTCGGCCGGAACGGGAGCGGGGCCATGTCCCGGGGGAAACGAGGCCGAGGCCCCGTGTGGAGCCTGGGCACAGGGGACTCGAGCCCTGATCCCGGGAGCCTCCTTACCCCTAGGTCGTCGGCCGGGCTGGGGTCCGGGCTGGGGTCCGGGCTGGGGTCCGGGCTGGGATCGGGAGGGACAGGGAAGCCAGGGGTGCCTGGGACTGTACAAAGTTCAAACCCGCGGCCTCGAGCAATCTCCCGAGGCTGTAAACTCTGCTCTCTGGAGTAGAAACTGGACTTCGTCCCCGCGGCATATCTCAGGCCCATTGTGCCCCAGGACTCCTTTGGAGTGACCCTTTCCTTTCCTGATGCCTAGGACCGGTGGACATGGATCCCGTCGTCGTGGTCCACGGTGGCGGCGCCAGTAACATCTCCAAGGACCGGAAAGAGCGAGTGCGGCAGGGGATGGTCAGAGCCGCCACTGAGGGGTACAACATCCTCAAGCAGGGAGGGACCGCCGTGGATGCTGTGGAGGGAGCCGTGACCGTCCTGGAAGACGATCCTGAGTTTAACGCAGGTATTGCGCTTCAGCTAGTGGAGAATAGACGGGCGTCTTCCCCTAAAGAAGCAGAACTTTTTTTTTGGAGAGGTTTTTGCTATAGGGTACATGCGCTCGCCAGAAAGACAGAAAGAGAAAGGAGACAGAAAGCGAGAAATCACCCCCCAGAGGGATAGCCACGCTGCAATCCCTTCTCCTCCATTCTCCTCTCGAGATCTTGGGCATGCACACACACGCGCCCAGGTGAGTTTAAGCCACCAGGTCGGGGACTCCAACTTGGGTGGACTACGTGGGAGTCCAGCGACATAGCCATTATGCCAGCTGCTGGTCCCAGAAGCAGAACGTTTCTAAAGTGGCAGTGAATCCACTCAGCTCTGTGATGAAACTAAGTATAAAATTAGTCTTACTTTTTTTTTGTACTACCTATTGATCAAGTTGCTTTAAAGATTTTTTTTTTAATCCATTAACTCACTATTTAACCTGCCTCCTAGAACTCACACACCGTTTTTTTAATGACATCTTTTAAGGGAAGACTATTTATTGTAAACTGTACTTGAAGATGAGTAATACCCGGTACCCACTGCCACAACCAAGATTTAAACATTTCTGTCATCCCCTGTGATACTGGGATATAGTAAGAGACATCCTGTCTGTTTGATCTCTGCCCCCAGTTCCAGGCACAGAGCTTCGGAAACCCTTGAACTTCCTGAGCAGTAGAGGCCCTAGGAGACTCTTTTGAACTGAGATTTGATCTTCCCCTGGAATTTCCTGAGTGATAGGATTAGTTTTTGTCCTAATGAGGTGATTGCTTGGTAGGCTCCTGGAGACTGGTGGTCAGCAAGACCACGCTTCTGGGCTAGCAGGTGGCATGGTGGTTCCCACATGGCCAACTCTGGTTTGATTCCCAACCAGATGGCTTGAAAAACATGCTAGCGTGAGTGCATGCCCAAAATCCTGAGGGGAGAATGAGGAGAAAGGATTGGCAGTGCCATCTCCCCAGGGGTGATTTCTCACTTTCTCCCCCACTCCCTCCCCAGTGAGCACACCCATAGCAAAAATAGACCAAAAATAGAAAGACCAAACCTCAATTACAAGCTTGGAACTTTCAGTCCCACCCCACCCTCATCTCCCCAGAAGGGGAGAGAAGTTAAAGATTGAGTTAATATAATCTATCATGCCTAAATAATGAAACCTATCATTAAAATCCCTGAAATGCAGTGTTCAGAGACTTTCTGGTTGGGGAATACAGCCAAATACCAGGAGGGTGGAGTATCCCAATTCCACAGGGACAGAAGCTCCTGGACATGGGACCTTTCTAGACTTTGTCCTGTGTATATCTTTATCTGGCTGTTCATCTGAATCCTTTATCAGATCCCTTATTTATGTACTAAACTGGTAAGCATGTTTTCCTGAGTTCTGCAAACTGCTCTAGCAATATAATTGAACATGAGAAAGAGGGTGTGCTAACCTCCAATTCGTAGCCAGTTTGGGCAGAAGTAGTGGGTAACCTGTCTACTCTTTGGGATTAGCGTCTGAAGTGGAGGCAATCTTAAGAAATCTGACTTTAGACTAGCAGATGGCATATAGTAGGTACATCGCTGGACTCCCACATGGTTGACCACAGTTCAAGTCCCAGACCCAGTGGCTTGAAACTCATGCTAGGCATGTGTGCATGCATGCCCAAGATCCCAGGGGAAAAAGGGATTGCAGTGTGGCCAGCCCCCCTAGGGGGTGATTTCTCACCTTTCCTCTTATTGTCTCTACTCCCCAACCAAAGCATGCATGTCCTAAGGCAAAAAGCTCTTTAAATTAAAAAAAAAAAAAAAGAGAGCGAAATCTGGCCTTAACATGTGGAATCCGATTCTTACACCAGGAAGATGTCAGAGTTGATTAAAGTAGGGGGTACCCAGCTGGTGTCTGCTGGAGAATTGATGTATAGGAAAAACCCACACCTCTGGTTTCGGAAGTCAGACATTTCAACTAAGTGAAGTAGTGAGAGTGAAGGAACTTACAAAAGTTCCATCACACCACTTTGCATTTTCTGTCCTCTTAGTCTTTAGTATACTTGCTTCTGTCACTATAAATTAGTTCGCATTTTCTAGAATTTCATATAAGCACAATCATACAAAATGTGTTCTTTTGTGTTTGACTTCGTTCAATCTGCCCCCCTTTTTTTTTTTAGAATAACAATCATCATGGCCAATATGAATGTCTATTAGGCACCAGGCAATGGTCTAAGAAATTTGCATGCTCAATTTGTTTAATCTGCAGTATAGTCCAATGAGCAAAGTGTACTTATTATACTAACTTCTCAGGTGAGAAGCTAAGGCACAAAAAGATGAACAAACTTAGTAAACAAAAAGACATTTGTTTTCTCTTTTTTAAGTAGTGGCTTGTCAGAAAAGTCCCGACATGTTTTTTTCTGTTTTCATGACTTTTCCGACTACCCAATAGAAAACCTAAAGCCTAGGTATTATAATACTTAGAATTCCACCATGCATCCAACATCTGTCTGGAAAGAGGATTTCAGGAAACCCTAACCAGTTAATCATCAGGTATTTACTGACTATTTGTTCTTTCCACTTGACTCTGCTAAGCACTCTTTAACACCTACAAAAGAAATCTGCTAAATCGGCCTGATGGTATAATGAGATACACAGTAGCATTATGGCTATATTTGTTGAGCCAAGAGTTGCCAGATGGGAACAGCCTTGCTAGCAGGGGAGCAGCTGGCTGTGTCTGAGTGGATAGTTACCACTTGCCTCTAAGCAGTAGGACTCCCTTGGCTGACAAACCCCCCACTGATTTATACAGGATCTTCATTTGAAGCTGGTCATCGTGGAGTGCCACCATCTCTAAACTAAAAGAAGCTATCCTCTACATGAACTGGAGGAGTATAGATTAGGAACCTAGAGCAGTTAGTTCTCATTCCTTTGCTCTGTACCCAGAGGCATCCTTTCAGACATCGCCCCGCTAATTACCCAGGTATCTGCTCTTCAGCATTGAGGGAGAAGAATAAACCAACAAAAAGAAATCAAAGATTTTTTTTTTTTTTGGAAAGGTTTTTGCTATAGAACACGTGCACTTGCCAGAAAGACAGAGAGAGACAGAGAAACAGAAAGCAAGAAATCACCCCCCAGGAGGGATGGCCACGCCGCAATCCCTTCTCCTCTCGGGATCTTGGGCACATATTGCACATGCGCCTAGCACGAGTTTAAGCCACTGGGTCTGGGGCTCGAACCACAGTCAGCTACGTGGGAGTCCAGCAACATAGCCATTACGCCAACTGCTGGTCCTCAAAAATTTAAGAAGGAAAAAGGTGGGACTTTTAACAGCAGATTGTCTACCTTGGCTATTTTTTCATTAGCTTTTCTCAGCAGAGATCACTACAAACAAACAGTACTCCCAGCAGCCTCTGTTGTAATCTTCTAGAATAACTACTTGGGAACTTATTACAAAAAGCTTGTTGCCAGTAATTTTTTAACTCAGTGGCAGCAATTAACATTCATGACACAACTTGAGTGTTTGTAAAAAAAATATTGTCTATATTATATTTCTTTTTTAAGTGTCAGTAAGGATTTCACTTTGTATTTAAAGCTTGTTTTATAATATTTAGTTTACTTTAGAATGGTTTATTTATTAGATACCAACACTGTAAAAATTGAGTTTTTAGATTTGAATTTTAGAAGTACTCTTTAAAGGCTTAGATTGGCAGTTTGGGCAACCAATAATGACTCTTTACTTTCAGTGCAATTCACCAATATTTTAATAACGAGTTAGTCTCTCTACAATTCAATTGTTTTTTCTTTTTTACAATTCAATTTTATAAGTTATCAAAGAGTCATTGAGATAACAGGATTTTTTTATTTACCCCTTTTTTAAAAAAAGAATTATTTTATTTACCTTTATTTATTTATTTTAATTTGACCAGAGAGAGACAGAGAGAGAGTGAGAGAGAGGGAAAGTGAGAAAGCAAGCTGCCCGGTCTAGGACTTGAACCATGGTCAGCCATGTGGGAGTCCAGCACCCTTAACCACCACACCACCTGCCAACCTCATTCACCCTCTTTTCTGAACTCCTTAAAATGTAACCTCTACAGGTAAAAATGTGATGGATCTAAGGGATTGTTTGTTGTTGTTTTCTTTGTTTTAAAGATTCCTGTGTAATTCTGAAGTACAAGTAAGTTTAGAATTCCCTAGCCTATTAATGGATTTTAAACTTTTTTCTTTTTTTTTTAGAATATTTATTTTTATTTTTATTTATTCATTCATTTTATTTTAATTTGACCAGAGAGAGACACAGAGAGAGAGAGAAAGCAAGCCACCAGGTCCAGGACTCAAACGGTGGTTGGCCATGTGGGACTGTACAATGCCTTAACCCACCATGCCACCGACTGGTCCCCTATTAATGGATTTTAGCATCATTTACATTTAGTAAAATCCTGTATAGTTCCTTAATGGTGACAAACACATGGAGTGATATAACTGCTACCACCTATAATACATTCTGTTAGTCTCTCACATCCCTTTGAGTCCACACCTCTGTCTTCCCTCAGCCCTTATCAACACTAATCTTTTTCTGTCCTTATAATTTTGCCTCTCTTAGAATGCCATAAATGGAAGTGGATTCCATTTAACCTGATGCGTTAGCACATCATCCATACGGATATAGGTGTCAGTAGTTTATTCTTCTCTATTACTGCACAGTATGCCATTGTATAAATGCACCAGTTTGTTTAGCCTTTTACCAGCTGTGAAGGGCCTGTTCCATCTGGGGCCATTATAAATAAAAATCACTGTAAGCATTTACATACAGGTGTTTGTGTGAACATCAGTTTTTTATTTAAGAATTATTTATTTAGCTTTATTTTTTATTATTTATTAACTTACTATAGGGCATTTACACTCACCAGAAAGAGATGGGGCAGTTGGGGGAAGCAAGAAAGCAAGCCACCGGGTCCAGGACTCAAACTGGGATCAGCCAAGTGGGAGTCCAGCACCTTAACCACCTGCTGGCCC